TTTACTATATATATATATATATATATATATATATATATATAAGTATAGGGCACTATAAATTCATTTTCTTGTAGGCAGAACGGTTTTTCTTGTTACAAGAACAGTGAGCTCTTAGTTAAAGAAAGTTTTCTTGTGTTCAGAATGGTTTTATTGCTACAAGAACAGATAGTTCTTAGTTCAAAAATATTTTTTGTGGGTAGTTTTTTTCTTGCTACAAGAACAGTTATTAGCTCTCTAGTTTAAGAAATATTTTCTTGTGGTCATAATGGGTTTCTTACTACAAAACACCCCTTAGCTTTTATTCTCTTATGCTAAAGAAGCTAGACATTCTTTGCATAAGAATAATATTTTGGGTATTGGTTCATTAGCTGTAAAAAAATTCTTAGAATAAAAACAATGTATGCAAGTCAAGATGATATTTCTGTGATGATAACAATTGACGGAAGCGTGGAATCGTGGAAATATTGTTATGTAATATTATGCGGTGCCCAGGCCATCCTCATACAAGGGGGCCTGCATGCCTTTTTTCGTAAGGCGTAATCGGGCATTTTTTTGTCTTCGTAATCCGTGAACAGCCTCCCCCAAAATCAACGTAATTCGTAATTGCACATTAGCCACAAATCGTAGAGTCGTAATCAGCTCTGAGACTCATCAGCTCTGAAACGTCATTCGTAATCGGCGGCGAAAATTTTGCGTAATCACTATGCCACCCCCTGCCCCATGCAGGCCCTCACACATGTGTCTGTGTATTTACTGTGTGGTGACAGGGTAGGGGGTTCAATGCATGAGGGGCGAAATGTGGTCCCAGAAATGTAACTTTGTAAACTGTCTTGACATTGCCTGGAATATATCATGCACGCTATATCCTCTCCATTCCTCCGCTATTACGTGAAGGAGCGGAGGAACGCAACAGAGGAACGGAAATAGCGTTCACAGATGAAATTCAGGGAAGACATGAAGATGGCGTATACAGTTTGTTTCTTTACGCTATTTACCTTTTGGCGGACCGAAAGCAATGCTGTGTGTGTAAAACTTTACACCCTCGTAAATCTTTATTATTGTAAGGCATTTAAGTTATAGTTGATAGCTGGCTTACATCATTCTTATGTCGCTTTGATTTCCTTTAAGCCGATAGTCACACATTGACTGACAGTTCAAATTTATGAGACAACGCGTACATACGTACGCAAGCTTGTGGGACCTATAGAGTAATTTTAAATGTTTTATGACAAAAAAAGTAATTATAAAGGTGATCTACTTACATGTGCATCCATGCCCCACAACTGGAACACGGACTTCTTCTGCACTTCCCGCAGGGGTACGTTGCCTGGCGGTGGGACATGTTGGTACATCCACAAAGATAGGTTCACGATGGGTAAAAATGTGTCACATCCATTTTGAAGATATCCAAACCTGTTATCATTTCATCGTTGTGGCTAATAAATGAAAACAAACTTTGAAGGCTGTAACAGGACAGACGTATCAAGGCTATAGTCTGTCACTGTTTGACGCAATGTTCACTGATATATGCCATATATAGACTGTTTACCGTTAATGTTTTGACGTTTTTTTCCCGCGCGTTGGACACCTCCCTAGCAACAGTAACTAACAACACTAACGTTACCGTTAATGTGTTGACGTTTTTTTTCCCGCGCGTTGGACACCTCCCTAGCAACAGTAACTAACAACATTGGAACCACAACACTGCCCCTTCCGTATTGCTTTTATTGTTGTACAACAAAGTTGTTGCGTACTCGGACGTAGTTAAAGAAAAAATATATATCGTAATAGGGCCGTAATAGGGTCAGGTAGATTAAACAACACCGTTTCACACATAATGTATCGGGCTGTCCAGGTGCCGAACCGTCCAGGCGGCTGGGTGCCGAACTATCCTGGGCCAGGTGCCGAACTGTCCTGGGCAAGGTACCGAGCTATTATGGGCCAGGTGCCGAACCGTCCTAGTAGGTGCCGAAGTGTCCAGGTGCCGAAGTGTCCAGGTGCCGAAATGTCCTGATACCGTTCTATACGTCTCTATGTACTGACACAAATTTACAATACCAGCTTTGTATCCCTGTGGTTAGTGGCATTTTTATTTTTGGCCGGAATTTTTTTATTCGCCTGCGCGCACTAGTTTGGAGGTCTTCAGAGGATGTCATCCATAATATTTTAAAAGTCGGTGTGGCCTAAGGCGGACAAAAAGACATTACATTTTAGAAACATCATATTTTAGATTTCAATTGAAGAGTTCTATGCAAAAGCCCGCAACGCTTGTACGAGAAAAATCAATGATTTGAGTTGAGAGAGGTTCGTTGTACCATCATTTTCTGCTCAGTGATTTTATCCGATTCTTCATCCCGAAATAGATTTTCAGGACACGAACCGAACTGGCCTGCGGTGCAGTGAATGGAAGAGAAGATAGATTCAGGGAAAACTTGGTGATGTCTTTTGAATCTGATCTCTCGAATGCCTGTAGTTACCATCGCCAAGAAGGTTATGTTTTCGTAGGCGTCCGTGTGTGTGTTTGTCTTTGTGTTTGTCTGTGTGTGTGTGTGTGTCTGTAAACACGATAACTTAAGAAGGCTTAAATAGATTGACTTGATATTTGGTAGATGGGTAGGTCTTGATGAGACCTCAAGATGGTTAGATTTTGAGCCCCCTAGCGGCTTCCTATGGTACTGCAGCTGAACTTCCGGTTTTGATATCTCCTCATCTGGACAAGCTAGTTACGAAATATGGATGGTAGGTAGCTCTTGTGCCGGGGAAGACTTGTGGTATTTGAAAGTTCTGTGAAGGTGAACATCATTAAACATAATGTAATCAAATAAGTACAATATTTGCATAATTGATGAAGAAATGCTAGAATTGCATTGTTTGTTAATATAAGATATTCTTTTGGTTAAGAATTTGATAAACTGGTATAATTCATGAAAATGAGGATCCTATTTGTTAAATCAGGGGGGGGGGAAATCTATAGTTTCTCAGTCATAAAGATTAACATCATTTGGCGAAGGTATGAGATCGGGGAACTCTAGTTTCTTGCTTTCAAAGGTCGGCCGAGGACACCATCTGTATTCTTCTCACGAACGCTGCTTTATTCCAGATGTGTTTCTCTTCCCGTAGTGATTTCCTTCTTTCCTGAAAAGATTTCTCTTATTTGACAGATTTTGGTTCCCGTGGTAAGCTAATTTTCTCTCAAGACATATCTCTCAGAAAGACGTCTTCTTTCCCCTCAGTGTTTTCCCAGGAAGACTTATTTTCCGAGAAAAACACATCCTTTTACGTAATTAGGGAAGAAGATAGAGTTGTGGGACTATGGAATAGTAAATTATCACTTAAGGAAACGATAGATCATGACTTACATGTAATAAGAGAGTGTTGGTAATATATCAGGTCGGCAAGATCCGGTAGTCGGCATTTTATTCATCGGTTAGATGATCAGTTCATTTGGCGGGGACCCATTCATCTTTGAAGCTTTCCACGTACTGAGATATTGACAATTATTGTATTTATTGTACCCTAAAAGCCTAGAAAAAAACATCTATTTATTATTCTTACTGAAACACAATAAAATATATATGGAGACACGAGGGAAACTCTGTCCTACTACTTGCAACATAATGTAATCCAACACGACAGGGTGTCTGCTACAGCACCAGTTACCACGGTGACAGACGTCTGGTCCAGGTTATTGACCTTTTATTTTTCGTTTGGAGAACAAGAAGAGGAGGAAAACGGATCAAAAACAAAATGTTGCCTTCTGCGAAGGTAAAGATAATTATAATTCTGCTGTTGTACAGGCAGATATTGTGTAAAATGGAAGAAAGAATTGTGCAGTCTACTACGGAACAGTTAGGCCACAGAAATTAAATTTTATGGATGACATCCTCCACAGACTCCAAATCTAATGCGAGCGGGCGAAAAAAACAAGGCGGGCCGAAAAAAACAAGGTTCCTACATTTTAAAATTTTGACGCAATCATTGTACAAATGGTTTTGATTCAGTGGGCCTGGGAACATCACATATCACTGAATCAAAGTAAGAAACAAGACATTAAATCAGAGCCTTGTCTCCTCTCTTCATAGTTATCTGCCATCCACCTTCCGGCATGGCAAGACATCTTTGCCCATTTTCGACATGGTGAACACTGTCAGAAGCCAACAAGATTTCTTGTTGGTTTTTTTCTCCAAAATCAGGCGGAAATTAATGTGCGCGCTGATGTCATCCATAAAAATTACCTGCTGTGGCCTTATGCTTGCTACACGTGAGTTTCTTATTGGACCAGGAGATGGCCTTACGATTAACCTGGCTTCTAAGCAGCTGAGCACGAAAGAA